AAAGTAAGCAAAAAGAAGCAAAAGAAGACCGTGCAGTCCAAACAAAGGTCGATAGTTTTTTTTTCAGCGTGAACATAAAAGCATTAAGTTAATGAAAATAAATCCTGTTTGATCAATGAACTGCCCAATCAGAGCTGTGTCCTGTTTTCTACTGTGCTGCTTCAGCCAACACTGAAGATGGATGAGCAGTAGAAGATGGATGGATGGATGAATTCTGTGTAACGCCGTCTCCATCACAGAAGACTGAACATCTATATCAACTCTGGTCTATACTGTAGACTATGTTGAGATGATACCATTTCCTTTAATGTTATGGGTTATTTTGGTGTTTACTGCCAGAAACACTCCTCTATTAAATCATTTTTATTTTTTATTTTTTTTACAGGAGAAATGGTTCATAAAATTCCTATTTTTAAATAATAGAGCTCTAAGACACACAGTGGTCTTTTCAGTGAGGTAATAAACCTTTTAATGAGTCAGGGACAACCTCCTGTTCTTTAGAAACTAGTCCAGGAACAAATGATGTTATTAAAATCTACGACGCAGCAACTTCCTGATCAGGTTTAAAGAGAGAGCAGGTGTTAGTGAAATGGGGACTTGGAGGGAGGTGGGGGGGGCTGGGGGGGAGGCAAGAACAGCTACATCCACGAGAGCCATTAGACACACATACACAAAGCAATCAAAGAGAGCTTTAACACTGGGATGGTGTCAAATCATGACGCCCGTCATTGTTCAGGCAGTTAAAGATTTGGGGTTTTGAATCCATGTGGTAAGTTTTTGGCCCCATTATAAAATATTTCCAATAACTAAATCTTTGGCTTTTAACTGTGTGGAAATCCCAATTACAAACACAGATAGATTGTTACTCATTGGAAGAAAACTAAGTCTCTGTCCTTTTGAAATCGGTCTCTATTTTGAGGGGGCTTTAATTTTCTGTCTCACGCTGTGAAACAAATTCAAGTGCAACATAAAAATCAAACACGCACATACAAAATTAAGCTGACAGCATCCTAACTTTAGAGGAACTCAGTAGGACTCCTCGTCTCTCCGTCTCCACAGACGTCTCTTTCTTTTCTATTATAAGCGTTCCATTCTGCTGTGCCTCAGGTCTGATAATGTCTTTTATCAGCCCTGGACTGACAAATACAAGTGTAAGTTCGCCCTGGAGAAAAAACCTCAGGACAATGACAGTTAAGATCGACAATTTGAAAACCATATTACTTTTAAATTTGATTGGGAATGAACACACTGATAATTGAATTCTTAAGATCGACAAACCATATTACTTTTAAATTTGAATGGGAATGAACACACTGATAATTGAATTTCACAAAAATCAAAGGTCAGAGAGAACAGGCCCGAGACGAGAAGAGGCAGAGGCACAGATGCAAACGCAGCTGCAGTGTGGATGATGCACCAAATGATGCTAATCAAACAAACCGAGTCAGCAGAGGAAAACAGAGTAACTCTCATTAGCACTATCTTCGTCTCTCATCTGCTTGTTTTCTTCTAATCCATCTATGCTGCGTCTCCATTGCCCTTAGGGACATGTCACTTCCTCCTTGCAGCGTTTCCTGAAATAGCAGCTGCGTGCCCTCATAGACGATGATGCACAACTGCATAGGAACTGCATCCACCACAGCAGCTCAGGTGCAGTCTGTACGAGTCTGTGTTTTACTGCGACCCAAATCTAACATCAGAGCAGCTGACACAATTCATTTGACGCCGCCTGTGTGTGCGTTTCCATACGTGACCTCAGCGCTTGTTAAAGATGGAGAGGCAATGTGTTTCTTATATTACCAGATAAAGACAACGTGACGACATTAACGCACATAACTCAGTTACACTTACTCACAGAGCAGGGTGAAGAAGTCTTGTTTTTTATGGACAGCATAAATAAGTGTCGGCTTTTCTTTTATTCCAAATGTTTTCCATGATGTGAAAATCGATATTTTTTCTCCGTGGTTTTCCAGGGAGCCTTGTGAGTGTGTGAATGGTAACAGGAATAACGACACGTAATAAAGCTGAAGCACTTAAAATGTAACATAAAAAAATATATATATAAAGTTCCTTATGCCCCACAGTGGGGAAAATCACAGTGTGAGTCTTTGAAACCTACACAGGCTGCCACAGGAGGCGCCATTTAAGTGTGTGAACCCAGGACCTTCTGCGTGTAAGGCAGGCATTAGTTTGAGCTACTTCTACAGTAACTGTCACCTATCAAACAAGAGACTTTTTTTTATTTTAGCTCCAGTTTCAAACAGAGAGGCTGATGAAGAGATATAGGAAAAGAAATAAAACACAATTTTAAAAGCTAGTCAAATCGTAAAAAAACAAAACAAAAAAACATTTTAAAGCAGGAGAAGGAGGAGCCTTAAAAACAGAAAGAATCTTGTGTCATGCTTGGTGGTCTTTATGACCTTATCAGCCACAACATGACACGTACAGCCGCCTCTATTGTCAACACAGACATTATGCAAACAGTCATTTCCCCGAAAACCATTCCAATATCTGGCCACGGCTCCGTAAACACCATTGTGAAGAAGCACAATCGTACTGGGCTGTGAGGTTTTAGGGCCCAAGAAAAGAACCAACTTATTGGAGAGGAAATGATGAGCGAGCGACCTGGAGACCAACCTCGACGCCGACTGAGGAATTGAGAAAATATAATGTCACGACCTTCCCAGAGACATAAGCATAATATAATGTGCTGTGGAGAACCGTCTCACTTATGGCTGGGTTATAGCACTTAGCTCAGAACAACGGTCTGATCTACTTCGGTGGTGGACGTTTTTCATATTAATACGTTTTTGTGATAGCAATGGTCGACAAACGAGTCAACACAGCCACTTGTCACAAATATAAACAGATGTCATGAACTTACATTTCAATTAAAGGCCAATTTTCTTCAGCCATGTTTTTTGTGGTTACGACTTCCTGTTTCTCAATCTACTGTACGTTGCAGGATCCAATCACATAACACATGTGCATGTATTTTGTTTCAATAGAATAATTCACAGTAACTTGTTTATATCCAACAACGACACAACAACGTGTACATTTCTCACAGAGTGGAGAGCGTCTGCCCCCGTGTGCACGTGCCTGTCTGCAGGTGGTGAGTGTAAGCCTAATGAAGGGGCCAGTTGTTTTGCAGGGCTGATTTTCAGAGAGCAGATGGATCGGTCTCTTAGTCTCCTCTGGTTTCAATCGTTTCTCACATTGCCGCTGTCGCACCATTGAGCAGCCAATTTCCTGCCGGATCATCACAAACGTGCATAAAACACACACACTGGGAGAAAGCTGCAAAAGCGGCATGTGGCAGTGGACCACAGAGACAAAAATAAAGGGAAGAAACTGGGTGACACAGCAGGTCACACACACACACACTCACGCATGCACATGACTGTATGCAAAATGTAATAAGTCACACTGTGGATAATAGTGTCTTTTGTGCACCGACAAGCAGAAAAGTATTTACTTGCATTAATAGACATACACACACACACACACACACACACACACACCTCAAACTGCACTGAATGAACTGTTGATTATTTTACAACATTTCACTAAATAAAAGACATATTAAAGACAAATCCTGATTCCTCAGACAATCAGAAAACTCGTTTCACCAGGAACACGGTAATATCCAAAGCCTCCACCATTTTTCCATTAACTCTCAGACAGTGTCTTCGACCCCGTCACTGTACTGTGTTGATGCTGTTTATTTTCAATTTCCATTTTAACCGGTTCATCTTTTTCATCTGACAGTTTACATCACGGCGTCTAATTCACACTCCGTCAAAACACTAGCACCAAGATGCATGCCAACTGACGCCTACTACACTACATCTAGTACGGGTATGTACAGTACAGTACACACATGTAAACCAAGGTTAAAGGCAGCCAGTAGGTAGAAGTAGTTGACCTCCACAGAGTGACCTCTGGCTTTTCAATCTCAGCGCCCTGTACAGCAGCAGATTACAGAAGCGTCGTTTTGTCCGCTGCCACTGGCAGTCAGCCTTCGCTTTGGGTTATGCGATGTCACTGGCCAGCTAAAGTGCTAATGGCTTTTTACTGGTGAGATATAGCTTTGTCAGATGCAAGTGTCAGGGTCAATGCAACACAAACAGAACAAGCAGTGTGTAGTGATCCAGGATTCACTGGGTCTTTGGCCACACTCAGGAGTATCTTCTATTTATCTTGTTAATTCAAAACCAGTACATTGAAGTCAATTATGTGTGCATTTATATATATAAATATTAGGGATGTTCGATATTAACTTTATGCCGATATCTGATATGCCAGTATTGTCCAAACAATTTATTTCTGATTCCAATATCAACCGATATAGACCTAGTAATATTTATTTATCTGTACAAACCACTGTATGAGATTAATTTAATGAGCTGCAATGCTGCCATCTAGTGACTTTCACTTTAATATACAGTCGTTTATCTCCTATTTTTAAGGAACACATCATTTGGCGAAACTCAGGCATTGCTATCATGTTTTCATTATTGGAGGAAAATCCGATAACGATTCTTATAGATATTAGAAAGTATGATAATATCGATCGGCCAATATTATCGGACATCCCAAATATATATATATATATATATTAAGGTAGGGTCACTGTAAAATAAATAAAATATTAAAGCAGTCATTTTGAGCTACAGACTGGCTTCTTCACTTTATTTTTCATCTTTCATATTCGTGTAAATTCTTCTCTTTCAAATCAATCCACTCATTTTGTGAAGACATTAACTGGATTTGTCGTGACTCCTGGTGGTTTCGCAGTAGGTAAACCTGTATCAGGTATTTTAGTGACAGTGAAGTGGAACATAAAGCTGAGGCTCCAGGGAAACCATGCGCCACATTCTCCAGTGACTTTGTAACAGAGAGAAAACTCGAGTGAAGAACCACTCATGCAGAAACACACAGCTGCACAACAGTCACGCTCACATACTGCTCTGCATACACATGGCTCATGTAAATACCTTCAGTGTGGATGGTGAATGGGGAGTCTCCCAGTCTCTTGGTTGAAAACTGCCCCCCAAGAGAGGTCATTAGAAAGCACAGGCTGAAGAAGCCAATTCCCACCACGAATATCCTGCAGAGTAAGAAGATAAGGTATGTTACAGGGAGAGATGGTGGATTGGTATATACTTGGGTGCAGACAAGAGTTTGGATAAAAAGGCAAGAAAAAAAAACCCAACAAGATTAAAAAAAAAAATAGAAAGAAATGAGGCTGGAACAAATTGGTAGAAATTAAAGACTGAAAAAAAAGAGGCAGCACAGAAGTGGGAGAAATAAGGAGAGAAATGATGAAACTGCTGCTGAACAGCAGGGAGTCATTTTTTATAATTATGTTAAACAGAGCAAAGATCACATGTACGAATAAAAAGGACCCGAAAAGTTTTCATTTCTGCTCGGAATTAAACCAGAATATTGGGGGGTGGAGGGGGAGGGTAGCTTCTTCTGAATAACACATCAAATTTACCTCTGAAACTTTGTCTAGAGACAGACAGGAAAACAGAACAAGGAAAACAAGACATCTAAGAAATTTTAAATAAATCAATATAAGGAAATTCAAGACAAAGGTCAAAAATACCAAATGTCTGATTCTCTACGATTTGATATTATCTTAGTATATAGATAGATAGATAGATATCATTATTATTATGCTACCTTATGAAACATTCTCTGAAGTACAGTCCATGTCCATGTACATGTACTGGACAAAATGAGTCACATGCCTGCTTCTCCACTGCTATTAATAGAAGTCCATAGTCCTGTCCTAACCTGGATGTCAAATCCCAGACATTAATATTAAATGTTTGTTTGTAACGCAACAATTAATGCAATAAGTGAAGATTAGATTAAAGTACGATCCAAGTGTTGTTAATTAGCACAACGCACTGCACAGGTGAAACCTTGAACTTTTAATTCACCAGTCAAGAAGTTGAAGTGTTCAACGCTAACACCATAAATGGCTGCATTATTCATTGCTTTCTCTTTAAAGCGACTCCAGCGCTGTGTGCTTGAATGCACAGCCCATTGTAAAAATCAGACAGCATTTCTGAAATGTTAAGTTGCCGCAGTCATGCAAAGTTCAGAACTATACTGTTGTATCCAATTATTTATGAGGTCATAGGAAATGGCTTCCTCTCAACACAAACGCAGAAAGGCCTCTACGAAGAACATTTGCTGTGTTGGTCCGATTGACCCGACGGGATCGCCATGACGTTGAATAATCTGTTAAGTATAGAGTGCAGTGGTTTGGCAACGTCCCAGGAGGAGACTTTATATTCCGAGAGTCTGAGAGTCTTGCCGTGGGTTGTAAGTAATACACTCAAATGGTTTCAAGGACAGATGGAGAAGGAGGGATGTGGCTTTTTATTTTCACTCAACTAAAAATTGATAATGATGAACCATTATCTTTAAAGCTCTCGTCTGCCGACTTGCATCAAACATGATGGCGACTGTCAGACCAATTCAGAAGCCAAAGCTTTTCCAAAGTCAAAGCAGTCACTTTGTCATTTATCTTCATTTTCTGTACCTTCTGTGCACAAAGTGATGCAGCTACACTTTCAGTCCGAGGTAGTTGAAATAAATTGTGGTAATGATTACATTTGGAAGCAAGACAGAACCATCATTTCATTGCAAGACACAAGTATCATTAGTTTTAGTTGTTTGTTTGTTTTTTAAAGAAAACACTTTCACCTAATGTTCTCAGGCACCAGGCTCCGTGTCCATCCGGTACACAACCGTACACAGTGCCTATGAGCCTCTCTCAGGATACTGCCGTATTATGGAATAATGAAATATTGCCCCCATCTGTTCCAAGCATATTGTGAAATGAACTGGAGGAGCTCAATCATTGTCAGAAGAATCATGGAGCAGCAATACAGCAATGTGAATCCAATCTAAAATAAAAATCATTACGCTCAAGGGGAGATTAGTCATTATGATGAAGCCATAGGAGTTGGTCCCATACCTGCATAGATTAAGCAATTACTAAATACACAGCGGTTCCAACATCTACACAAAGTAGGCACAAAAAAACAAAAAAAAAATCACAACAGAATTAATTAATATTATATATACACACACACACACACAGGGGGTCCTCGAAGTACATCTGAGTTGCGTTCCTATAAGTACCCAGCTCACTCAGGTACTATAACCCAGTGGTAAAGTCATAATCTAAGACATGAAAACATCAGAAGAGTCTGACTAATGCTTGGAAGCCACAATGAAGAGCAAAAAAAAAAAACACATATGAAAGAAAGTCAATGTAGCACCATCCACTGGGTGGAGCACAACCGGTGAATGTAAACAAAGGTGTCGTCCACGTATAGTGCTGCATGATGATGTATTTGTCCACTAGTGACTTGTCCACTACCCGTGTGAACTAGTGGGTGAGTTTAATCGCTATATGTAGGATTTTCTGTAAACATAAAACTCGCCTGAAAGGAAAAGTGAAACATTTGTGTCAAGCAGCTCACCGGCTGATGATTTTAGGCCAGTTGTTAGCAGTTTTAAAAACTGGCCTTAGGTGGGTGATATGAGAGGATTAGGCCACGGTCCCGCCTGACAAGCCTTTAATTAACAGGCTTAAAGTGAATGCGTACTCGCTATAATTGGATCAGAAGGAGAGATCTGCTATCAGCTAATTAGCTTTTTCACACATGCCTCTAGGTGCATGATTTTGAGGCGAGGAGTTTTGCCAGGCATGGCAGAGACATGTTTGGGGTTTTGTCTTGTCGATTTCCAATAAACCATTTCCTGGAACATACATTAGAATGAAGCATTGAAACCAGTTAAACTGAATTCCACCTCCCTCATGAATAAAATCAGAGATTTCAGACCTTCAACACTGAGAGATCTTCTCTTAAATCAATCACACAGACATTTCAACCTTTCAAATGAAGTCATATACAACAGTACCGCAACAGAAACTGCTCTGACTACTACTACCAACTGATGTCGTTTCTTTGGATTCAAATCAGCTTGGAACAGCATTTTTACACCACTAAACACTGTATTTAGGTACTCTAAGTATAAACAAATGCTTACCAGATTTGTTTTTTAGAGAACTGATTGGCAAACCTCAGCTGACTGGAAAAACCAAATAGTATCAGGAGAGTTTTAAAAGGTGCACATTGATCTCGGTGCTGCTTTTAACCTCAAACTACCAGGACTTGAGTTAAAATAATGTGATGTAATGACTTAGATACTGCCATCCAGAACCATGAAGCCAAATAGCATAAAGCAGAAAAGCACATCAAGATTCAATGGACTGTGAAAATATCAGCTGTTAAAATCGTTAACGTGTGTCATAAATCACCTCCAGTTCTTCATCACATTCAAAGACTGTGGGACAGTGGAGACGTACGGCGTATACAATAATAAAGCACTTCAGACTGGCACACCATCAACAGCTGCTGTTCCACAATTAGCTGTACCCCCCCCCCCACCCATTTTTGTTTATCTGTGAATCCCCAATTTAAAGATCTGAAGGTCTGTTTGATTTTCACACAGACCCACAAGTGCTCAATTTTATTCAGCTATTTGGTTAAAGCTTCATTGATTTGAATTTGTTTTGAACGACCAGATAATAGACCATGTCTATACTACAACAGATCCAGACTAAACTGTGTCCATTGGGTTTTAAAGCTGAGGCAACAGTAGAACACAGAAAAATAATTCTTTGTAAAAAAAAAAAAAAAAAAAACCAACACAAGTTGTTGACAATAAGTCGGAGTCTGTTTTGTATATTACAAAACCAAAATATTACTATAAAAACTTATTTTATTTAAACTTATTATAAAACAATAATTAAAATGCATAATTAAACAATTATTTGACACTACTTTGATTGAAACTACGTCCAACTGCACAATGTTAATGATAAAAGCCAGATATTCACCCATCAGTGAACATTGTCCGTATTGTACCTCATTACCTACACCACATGACCAGGTCATACAGGTCGTTGTGGCTGTACATCGCATGCAGTGACCAACAATTATCGCTTCAATAGTTCAGGAAAAAACAAACGTAGTATAGAAAACGGCAGTAAACGTCCAATATTTAACATGACTTATAGTGAAGCGCAGTTAAAGTCGAACTGAAGCTCTTTCAGTCGACACAGCACACAACAATATGTGACCTTTGTGTTTTACCCATCACCGCGCTCAGTGTACCTCAGTGGCAACATAACTGGAGGACTCAAACCTGAAACGTTCTGGACCCAAGTCTGCCTCTTTAACCACTGAGCCACCATCCTATCATTTACAAACATGGCATTTGATGTGGAAATCAGCTCCACGTTAAGACATGCCATACACACCTACAATTTAAGGGAACTTGTGTATATATATATATATATATATATATATATATATACATACATAAAGTAAAAATCAACGATATTATCTACATCTGTGATTTTGATCCTAATTAGTTTATACCCACAAATCTCTGCTGAAAACACTCATCTGAAGCTTCGGAAATGACGGCATGCAGGCATTGTGTTTGACATCAGCTGTTCCTGATGTTTCAATCAGGAATAGAGGAAAAAGAAAACTGTGAGTGCCTGCTAGCCATTCATTAAACTGAAGGCTGTCTCTGCCTGGATGCTACATCATTAAAGGCTCGAAGCTGGGAGAAACACCAGCGGCTAGTGGCCCCCTTACCTGAACGGTTTGAACGTCAGCAGACATCTTCTGACCATTATTTTACTGTCGGTGCTTCCAGTAGTCATTTTCCAAAACCAGCGACCTCTGACATTGTTCTCCAATTCCTGACACGAAACTTCAGGTGGCCAAACATTTGCACCTGCGACCCATACGTCCAGCGGAGCACGACAGCAGCAGCGGACGGGTCTTTTTCCACAGAAACAAACACAAACAGAAGTGATGCTTTGCTGCACCTGAGGAAAAGACAGGAAGTTTGATTCACCGGCTCCCTCTTTAAATACGATGAAATGTTATTAAGCTCCTTTTCAGTCCAAAGGGGGGAGAATACCTATCAGCCTGAGGAGAACATCCGCTGTTAGAGTTCTTCAGGGATTGGGTGGGGGGGCAGGTGACGCCGTAGAACGAGAGAATTAAAGAGTAATATATCCTCGTCTTTTTATGTGTGGTGTTCAGAGAGACCGTTTTAAATTTTTTTAGCAAACTCCAGCTGAAGCGACCACAGAGCGACTGTGTCAAACCAGCTGTGTTCGCTTCTACGTACTCTCTCCACAGGCAAATGTGGACCAATCTGCAGCACCCGGTCAATCCTTTCAAAGTAAAAGCGTCATTTTACAGCTCACACATTTCGCAGACGTAAAAACTGAGTTTTGAAAATATTACATAAAGAAATAAAATAAATTCATGATAAAGTCTAGTGATATTTATTTTTTTTATAGTTATAGACTAATAATAATAATATATTAAACTAAACCAAAAATAGGCTGGGTAAATTAAGACGAAACATAACGTGTAAAATTATTTTATTTTGAAAAGCAATTTACACACTGCTTTGGCTCACACCTGCTGACTTGACCTATTACTTACAATATTGTAAATATTGTAAACAAAGAAAAAGTCTCCACGGCTGTCTTTACAGCTAAATATTGTGTCAGAGGAGACTTCTCTCCCTTGCTACAATAATTTAACTTCATACCAATTAACTTTATTTTTATTTTGAAATACTAGAGGCATAAAAACCTTTTGACAGAGAAAAAACAAAAAGAAGTTTGAAGAAAATCCTCATTATTTAATAGCTTAATTCCTTAATTCTTTATTAGAAAATCGTGGCTTGTGGCGAAGTATTTGAGCACCGCCGACAGCGAATTTAATATGGATGTACTAGCGGCCCCAAGCGGCAGATTGTGTTACTTTACACAATACTGAGAACTCTGCAAGAAGCTATACTATTTTAAAATAATAACAATAATAAAAAAAATCATCCTTTACTCTATTGACATATACTTAGATATTAAAGCTTTGTATTCCCCATACTATTAATTAAAACAAATTAAAAATAGGAAATTATTTCTATTATTATTACAAATATAGCTTTTTTTTTTTTCAAATACACATCTTATGAACAAAGCAAAACTTATTGTAAAACTTGTCTTCGCCCACAATAAAGACCATCTTAAGCAATAGGAGGGGGAAACACAGGTACATCTTCAGACGACCTTTTTTGTTCATTTAAATGATTAGCAGTCAGTTTACGCTGTAGCACATATTATGCAGTCTGTGGCCAGCAGAGCATTGAAGCAGAACTAGAGGCAGAAGGAGGGGGGTTCAACAGGGAACCAGACAGAAGATGACAGTGAATTCTCAAACTCCCTTCATGCATCAGTTAATCCTGGTACAAGTGGATGTGAGTGACAGCCCCACGCCCATGCCGGCTGTCCTTCTCTGTGGGTTGTGCGACAGTTTTACAGAGTAGCAGGAATCAGTGAAGTCTGAAAAGCATTCTGTCAAATATAGAGAATACCCAGAGGCAAGAGGCATCACCTCACTTTAGATGGCTACAAGGCAAACAAACAGTCTGTAACCGTGATAAATGTTTAAGGAATTGGGCTGTTGTTGTGGATTCTTGTGGATAGAATGACTAATCGTGATTAACTGAGATTTCTAAAAATGACAAAAACTTGTTTTTCCTGTAAATTTTCTGTCTTTAATTTTATTTAAAAAAATAATTTTAAATTGAATTTTAATTTTGGTGTGTGTGTATGGACGTATGATGCCCAGTGCACAAATATTATATAAATCAGAAAAGTTCTAAAAATGACACATGCCTTCACCGAGTCCTTGAAAGTTTGTGTGTGTCTCTCTGTCTGTCTCTCTGTCTGTCTCTCTGTCTGTCTCTCTGTCTGTCTCTCAAAGGCATTATGAAATATAAAGCATACACAAGGCTAATCATCTAAAGCTGTAAGGCCACAGAGAAATTGTTTGTCTGGACAGCAGCACAAATTGATTTTCTGTTTCTGTTGCCAGCAAAGGTCAAAGTCGCCTCTTCACTCCTGAATTTGTCTTGTTGCAATAAGGTTGAAGAAGGAGCTAAAAACGATGCTAGTCAAGGCATTCACCTGGAACTGATCAAAGGTAAGTCTTCTGGTTTCAAAGTAAGTTATTTCTCAGATTAGGAGTTGAGTCAGATTATAGTCTGATTACAGTTCAATGACATGTACCTGTGAAAAAACAGTCTAGTTTAAAATACTACAAAATATCCTTAACAGACACTCTTTAAAAATTGTTTTAAAATATATATTTGTAATATATATTTGTAAGATGTGTTTTTCACTGGATTAAACTTCACAACATCTGATCTGTACTAACAATAAAATCCAAGGGTTAACTGTCCTAAATCATCCCACTCACCTTCACCACCCGATGATCTTATCGTTCTCCATCCACCAACTTATCTTTGTACCCTTTTAAAAACGTCCCTGTGGATGGGAAGAAGAGGAACTGTTAAAACGAGAGATAACGACAAAACGGTTCAGACAAATCGTGGGATGATGTAGGAAATCGATGCACGGACAGAAAAGGACACGAGGGAAGAGAACATAACAATGTGGGAGATTGATTCATCTGTAATGAACGGGTGAAATGGCTCGGCAGAACGTTCTGCTCCAGACACGTCCAGGATCGTTGTGAACCACTTGGTGAACTGATGAAAGTACTTTGATGCTGATTGACAGTGCAGGTCACCACCAGGAGGACAATTTGCATTTTCATTAGATTTTAGATTGACTCCAGTGTGTGTATTCCCCATTTAGTACACATGGTCTTTGCAGTACCATGAGCTACAATGTATTCTTGGCAGGTAAAAAATTAGTATTTGGGGTGATAAAAAAGGATTATTCACCTAAAACGAACCCTAATTAAGTTCATTAACTTTACGCTGTGTTGAGAATCAAATATCGTCCAAAAAAGTTCAGCCTACGCAGTCTGTTACGTGAACAAATAAAAGGGAGTGTAGCGCAATCCAATGTGCAGTGTACAAGACGCCTTTAGACACGTTTAGTGCCGTATTCGTCTGTTTGCTCACCAACTAGTTCCATGCGAAATTAGTTTTAACGCCTTACGTGGGAATGATGGAACAAGAACTTTCTTATTAAATTTATGGGAGATTTTCATGAAACGTTGTAAGTCGAGGACGCCATAAACCGAGGACGCCATAAACCCGAGGACCTCCTGTATTCACCGTCTTCAATATTTTTCAATAATATAGCGCTGAAGTTATCCAATCTGTGTACATGAGACCCCTAATACTACACAGACAGTACTGATAGGTTATTTCGATTATTTACGTTGATCTAAACTCTTCTCCCTTTGTGCTTATACATTTTTCTTTAAGGACAAGCCTTTTTGTCAAGCCCAGTGTTTTGACAGCCGTCCGCCCTCGAAATTAAAGTAGCAGTCACTGGAGTGTGACATCACCGAGGCGTGAGGCCTGATGGGCCATAGACGGAGCCTCACACTGACACTTTGACTGACAGACATGCACAACCCCTCTGCAGCAACAAGGCAAGGTCTGAGTGTCAGGGACAGACAGGCTTCACGAGACATTTTTCTCCAGAGACGAGCGATCTCTGCATTTTGATGGGGGCCAAAGTTATTCCCCTTGACTCTCGAGCAGTAGAATCTGAAAGATGGTTTTAAAATCTTGACAGTGAAAGAGTAAAGTCTAAAAAGTACTTGATCCATAGTCCTATTTCTTTCTTTAAAAAAACTGAAGTAAGTTTCTGCAATCAGACCACAAACTTTAAGTCTAAGTCTCACTCTGGGAGATTTAACACACCCATATTTTTCAGAAGTGCAATTTGTCCCTGAAGTGCTTCGGGAATAAAATTGGAAGGACACAGAATATCTAGTCGGAGCTACAAATATTCTAAAAACGTTATGTTCTGATGTCATGCTGTCATGGAGAGAGTGAAATCTTTTCTTCTCGACTCCCCCAGACTGAGGTTGAGTGCTTCCCTCCCCTTGTGTTCACCCCTTTCTCACCTCTCTCCCCCACAATTCACATCTGTGTGTATTTTTCTTTTGCGTTTTTGTTGTTGTTGGAGGCAGAGCTGTAGCGGAAGCATTTGAAGCTTACTTCAGATAAAGCTCTTATCTCCGCAGGAGTGTTGGGCCTCAGACCGACTTACTTGACAGTGTCAGTGTCCTCATGTACTCTGAAGGTACATGAGATCATCACCATCTGTGGGGCCTCCATCCCCTGGATTTTCTGAGCAAAATAGATGCAGACACGGGAGTCGTACACAACCAGGCATCTGGGAAAAAAGTCAAATTGTAAAAG